TCAGGAGGTAAAGCAAAATACCTCCTCAAGCTCCGTCCTTCTCGATCTGCTGCTCTTGGCTCGCTTCAAGGATTTCATTCTCCAACTTGCACTCCATCCCCAACAGTGAAGAAGACAGAAATTGGTCTCCACCACCTTTTCTTTCATCTTCTTCCTCTGGATAACCTGTTCCATTCTCCTTTAAGTATGGATTCAACTCTTTTGGATTCACCTTCTTTATCTGGCAGACAAAGAAGATACAGATCAAAACTTAGAATTATGCACCCTGTATTGCCGACATACCTCCATCAGGAGCATCAACAAAAAAACAGACAGCCTTGGGTTCCTTGTTATGTCCCCATCCCCATGTCTTGAAGGTTGGGGCTTCAAAGTCAGCCCAGGCTATGTACCCTAAATACTGCACTATGAACAAAAAACATACAAGAAACAGAAAAGGAACACTCCATAAAAATACACTAAAAATGAGAACACTTAGGAAAAATCAGAGTGTCTCAACTACTATTGAAAGAAATATATCACAATAAGAAAAAATTATCATAGGTTTTATTTAGGAAAATTATTCTTATCCGGCAAGAACTTCACGATATACTTCAAAAAAAAAAAAGCAAAAGAATTATTCTAGCTTTTCAGAAAAAGAGCAGACCTCCTCAGTTGAAGGCTCCTCTAGCATCATGTCCTCAGACTTCATACCAGCAGTTATCGTGGGCCCTTTGTCAGTCCTATCAGCAGGTCTAAGCATCCATTCCAATCCTATTTCTTTCCTCACAATCTCCATATTTAGGGCTGGAGATTCTCTACCATCATCTAAGAAGCAAAAATAAATATATATCAATAATCAATAAAATAATTAGATAACAAGTCAAACATTTAAATACAGAATCACAAGGATACATATAGTAGCAACCGGCACAACTCAAGGCGCTCCAAAAATAACATAAAATACCATAAGTAACTGAAGTAGCCACTAATCCTAGTAAAGGTGCGATCACGCACGACAAGCATGCGTTCTCCATGAAGATTCTTGCGATCACGCACAACAAGCACGTGTTCTCTATGAAGATTCTAAGTCCGTGAATGAACTAAAACAAGAATGTGTCGCCATCCATTGCACTTCCAGTGGTGTGCACAAATAATTTCAACCCTACTCTGCATGCAAATGTCTGTGTCCTAGCTAAGCTGCCTTGTGTTAGTGTGACTAGCAATCCAAGATCCAAATAAACTCATGCCTTAATTAAATTACATCAACAAATAGAAAAGGGAAGGAAAAATCAAATACATCAATAAGATAAAAGAATATAATAAAAAAATTCTTGTTCTTTGCTTCATCTTCCATCCTTTTCCACACAGCCCTTAAAGATGAAGAATCTACCCACATCATTATCCATCAAATAGCAAATTTAATTACAAGCCAAAAGAAGCAAAGACCAAATGATTAAAAAACTAATAACTAATAATAATAACGATTTGTAAAATAAAAAACAACAACGACAAAGTAATTAAAAAAAACTGCATAGGCTCAATTCTTTAACATACAATTAATTCATCCTTTTGCAAAGCCGTTAAACCAGCAAGACAAGCTTACTGTTCAAGAAAAATGAAACAGAATTCATATGCAAACAAATCCATTCGACATTGTCAAGCTATAATTTATCAAAGGAGAGAGACAAACTGGAAGATCAAAGTAAAGATCCCATTAGTTAAACAAACAAAATTACTTCCATATTCAGCATGGATGTATGCTCACTATTTATGTCATTCTATTATATCCCAAAGATGCATCAAGAAATGAGAAGCAGTCAATCATTAGTACATTGAAATCTGAAGAAGAAAACAAATACTAACAAAAGTGGGATATGACACATACCAGACAAGTTTTTGGCAACATCAT